AATTAAAAAAAATGCTGTAGTTTATGTTTAATCTTCAGATCGACAGATGGCCAGCAGAGCCTGTAGATGATCTCCTTTGAACTGTTTCTGATGGAGAAAGACGTTCACATGTATGAAATTAATATTCCTTTCATTTAATAATACAAACATAAACTACTTTTCAAAATGTCACTGTTCTGATTTAAATGCATAATTTGAAAAAACATTATCATGTCAAGTATTCAGGTCTTGTGTTATAATGTGTAATACAGTGGAATAAGTGGGACCCACCTGTAGAGCAGTGTAGAGGGACGTGCCTGTTAATTTGAGGTAGGCTGTTCTGATACACAGCAGATCCTCCTCAGAGTGAGACACCATTATCCCCTGCAATATGGGTGTCTGCAAAATGGAAATGTTTTCTGCGTGAATCTTTTTGCGTTTCAAAATCTTAGATGTGAGATGATCTTTTTAAATGTATAAAAGTGAATAATAATAGGTCTGCTTTCAATGGGAGTGATCGTTTAACTTGATCTTTGTATTATTGACCGTGGTCTAGGCAGGGCAAAAATAACTTTTATCTGTACAGCGCAATCCATACAGGAAGTACTTTTCAGAAATTAAAACTCAAAAACCAGTTGAGAACAAACAAACCACTATAATATATTGCATACAAGACAACATTACAATTCTAGTTAATTTTTTTTCATGAGTATATAAATGTCTATAAGTAAAAAGGATATCATAAACCCGATTAATATTATATACAGAAATGACAGAGAGTGCAATAATATAGGCAATGATCAGTCACTCACAAAAGAGACAATTCATTATGAGGGCATTTTACCTTGGTGGCAGTTAGTCTCTTAGCGAGGTAGCCCTCAGGGCTTTGAATGCATTCCACTGTAATAAAACAGATTTAAAAAACTGTGAGCAATCAAGATGGACAGCTAGTCAGCACTTAATACCCAGAACTAAGAAGAATCTTAAACTATATTTACCTAAAACTTTCAAACCCAGTCGAGTGTCTCCCGAAAACTTTTTCTCCAGAGCCTGATCCACCATCTGCCCAATGTCCAGCTCCAGTCCCATCAGCACTGTGAGATACAGATAAACCACATACAAGGTCAGGAGAATGGACTCTAATGTACATAAAAAAATGTACAAGAAAGACGCATAGGTTAGATAAATATGTTACAGCCTCACCTTTGTTCAGATGGTCCGAGTCTCGAGAGGTCAGTATGTCAATCCACGGTCCTGCCTCAGCTTTTTTCCCATTCAGTGTGGCAGAGAGAGCCTGGAAGAATAAAACACAATCAGAAATTGGGTGACAGACTTGTGATGTGTTGCAACTACTACTATACATGCGAGGCCCACATGTACTATGCCAGCTTAGGAACCACATTTTCACAGGAAGCAAACAGCAGGTGTGATACTGAATCAGAGTACTAGGAAATGTATTCTTTAACACAGTAGGTTATTGGTATTTAATTGAGTCCTGACCAAAATGAGTGATGGTCTGGATAACTTATTTTAGATGACTGATATTTTCATTTGAAAGAACACTCCTTAACACAGGTTTAGTAAGGGTATAGTAAATATTGCTAGCCTTACTATCATATCATATTAAACCTAGACTAATATTTGTGTATAAAAATATCATGGGCAATATTACCTCAATATCTCTTCGAACCCCGCCAGGAACCTCGTCTTTCTGTTGGGAGAGAAGTCAGAACACATTTGTGACAGCTTTATAAGGGTAATCTTAATTAAATGATTACCTGTCACAGATATCACAGACATATTTTCTCTGTAACGGTGCACCACTAATATTTCATACCCAAGATACATAGTTTCAATTATATAAAAGGTGGGGGATTAACACCCAATACAATATTATCCAAGGGTCAGCTGGGATTGTTTGAATGGTTGTACTGTTGTATGAGATATTTATCAGTTGTCTGCGTACAACCTACAGTAGAAGATGGTTGACACACCCCCAGATTGGAGAAACACACTGGAAATAAAGCACGGAAGCAAAGCAATATTGTAGTGATTTCAACGGGAGTAGAACTAAAAATATCATTTATTATTATCTGTGCTTTCGCTAAATCACCAGAACCCATAAATTAGAAAAAAGGAGGCATTAAACCTTGACAGTCAAATAGTGCAATCTACCCTGATTGTTTGGAGGCTTTAAAGAGAGCATGGACTAATAGAACAGCTTCTGGACCCTGTCTGACAGCAGGGTAAAACTGTTCAAATATTTTAAATAAAGTGTAAACTTAACCTCATATGGATTTTTTGGATGGGCCTTTTTTGAGGCGGCTAAAATATGTTTTACTGCAGGTCCCCTTCCACAGCAGTCCATTGCTTAGCTTCCTTGCAAAAACTCCTATCTGTTTTTCCAACCTAGGGGTGTGCTGACGGCCATCTACTGTAGGTAACTGACTGACTACAGTATGGATAGGTACCGGAAACAACCCCAGTTCAAACAATCCCAATAAAGGTCTATTTACTTATTTATGAATTTAAAATTGATGGTAAAAGAAAAAAAATTAGGATTACATTCAACAAAGCCATGAGAAGCTTGTAAAAGTCTCCACTGGTTTCTCCTTTCAGTTCCTTATCCAGGTCCTTCTTATAAACTAAATAGGGAGAGAAAGCAAACAAAATGTTACAAATACCGGGCAATAAGACATTATAGGATTAGGGATAAGGGTTTAAATGTCCATGATAATCAACCAAACAATTTGAAGGGAAAAACTTTACAAGATTTGTGACTTACTTTCTTTGTATGCAGCACTGATTTCTTGGAGCTCCATCCCAGAATGTGTACACAGGATCTCCAGTAGTGTTTCCTCATCTGTTCCTATACCCTGCACACACACCACATGCTATTCTTAGACCCTGGGATATGACAGGCAGGAAAAATATGTAAACACAAACAAAAACAAGCCACTCACCACCATGGCCTGCTGCAGGCGATATGCCTCATACTGCAGAGGAGGCATCAGCAGCCCCAACAGGAGGACCTCCAGCTCTCCAGACAGAGCCTTCTTCAGAGCCGCTGCCAAGTCCTGGAACAGAGTCACAGTAAACACTCCTGTTTTCAAATTTCTTAGACATTGACTTAATGAATATCAATCTATCAGAACAGAAGGAAAAAACACTAGCTTTTTTTTTTTTAGGACTTACTATGCTTTGGTAAGACTTTTAGGGGAATGTCCTTCATTTGAGATCTTACTTAAGTAAAAGTACATCAAGTACTCAAAATGCAGAATGATTACCCTACTAGAAAATTGTATATTACATTTCTGTTCAATGCTTAATTAATGTATGAGTTTTTAATAATGGTTAAGTTGGAGCAAATGTTTTTATTTCTCATAAACTGCCAGGTAGCTTGATGCATTACAATACATCATAATTATTAGTTGATTTACATTTTGTATTAATAAAGTGAATCTGTAGAGATGTTAACATTTCATTATTGGAAACAAATGAAGTGGCATTAAAAGTATAATATTGGCTGCCAAACATAAGAGGATAACTTTAAAGTAGAATAATACTAAATAAATATAAGTCAGGTACAAGTACGTTAACATTTGTAACGATGGTTGTTTGTAGATAAACGTTGACACTGCAGCATCATATTCATCCTCTACCACACACCTCATACTACTCCTTCTGTAAACAAGGGTGAGTTCCAATCCTTTAAAACCAGTTTAAATCATGTTTGTACAGCAAACACTTGGAAGTGACAGATGGGCAAACACACATTTGCAACATACAGTATTGTCATTGTAACTCCCCATTCTCTTGTACTGCATAGCATACATTTTTAAGAAATATTTCACAAGGGGGGCTGCTGTAGCACCGAGCATTTAAACTATTCTTTTGAATGTAACATTTACATTTCCTAAACAGGTTTTTTTTTTGTTGCCTTTTTTGTCTTGTTATATTTCTTATTCTATGTGTTGTCAGGTTCTTTGTTTCCTTACCTTGTGTGTCATTTCCTCAAAGGCCTTGGCGATCTCTTGTCTCTGAGCGTTGTTCCGATTGGTCAAGATTCTCACCAGAGTCCCTGCATCTGAGAAAAGAACAACATGTATTCATACTAATATTTAATGATGGGGAGAGGCATGGTATGAGGCAAAACAAAAATGTGAATTGTATGCAGCTTTATTCAACACTGATGGTCAACCAATTCAAAGGAATGGTTCAAACCATTTGAAGTACCTTTCATTTCCAACGCTTTCTGGATCTCCATGGCATCCAGGTCAGAGTGGAAATTGGCGAAGGGTCGCACCGTTCCCAGGGTGCCCCAGCACATCTCCTGTATGGTAGGAATAGTAGAAAGTGAAACTGTTATTTAGGGAATAATTGCAATGATCAATGAAAAGAAGGATTGAGCATAAATCCTGACACTGGATATTGATTCTGTCTGGTTTATTATTGTTAAAATATCAACATATAATAAGAGTTTGTCAGGAAGCTAGTGGAATTTGTGAAAGGAAGCTATAGGCGTTGGCCGAAGATGAGCGAAGATACGTTTGGTATCTTTGCTCATCTTCTGCCGAGAAGAATGCCAAATATTCTATAGTGCTTCTCTGAGTAAGTGTGTGAGGGTGGATGGGGGTGCAGGGAACACAATAGTAGATTGGGTAAGAGTTTAACTTATTCATTCATTCAGAATAACTTGATGGACATGATGAACTCATTGCAGTATTCCAATGAACATGTCATGTACATAGTGACTTTTGTAGATATCGTTAAAAGGTATGCAGATAATAAGAGAACACGAGACAGAAGATTGTATTATCTGGAAATGTGTCGTCCTGGCAAACAGAGTCTTAATGCAAAGGCAGAAAAAGGAAGAACATGTCTACTTACATAAGATTGGAAATACTCAGGGTCCATGGCTTTGTTTTAACTGCAAGAAAGAATGTGAGTAAGTTACAAATGGTCCATCCAGAACAAATACAGAAATATGCAGTCAATGACACACACAGGCACATGGATACAGTATAGAAAGTATCTAATGTAATGGTGTGAATAAAAGGACATGTAAAATTGAAGTAACCATACTCTGAATTGTTGTGTTCACTGAATCCCTTGATGACAATGTATTCATGACTCATACTTATCCAAACAAAACTAAACACATAACTCTGTGTTTGCCACAGTCGATTAACACAAACAGCTTACAGAATTACACAAGAACAACATTTTTAAATATGTGTCTTTACCTGTAACAGGATATAGTGGCAGCTAGGAAGGTAAGAATGGAGTGGAGTTTTTGTTTTACAACCTCTTGTAATCAGTTCCGTATCACCGTCTCACCCTCACTGTGCCACACCTGCTGTAGTAACCCACCTGACTGTAGATCAGACAACTGACCAATCGCTGCTCAGTTTCTTCACAGCTGTGTCAACACTATTGGTCTCTAGAAATACTGAGACAGCCCACCTGTAAAAAACTGACATTCCTTTCAGAGGAGGAATGAAGACAGGCGAGTTTGTTTACAGGTAGCCTTTGTTGTGAAATGACCATTGACTGTTGATCTTGTGGCAGATTCTGAAAAAAAGAATAATTATTGTTGTTTTAGGGTATATAATTAACACTTTTATTGTAGAAAGTTTAGTTTTCAGGTTTTTAAAGTACAGGACTGCTTTGACATTTTTCAGCTGAAATACAAACCCACCAGACGACATGCCTGACAGGGAGTGAGGGGCGTACTCTGGTTTCAGTGTGAAACAGACCTCCCTAAGAATGGTGTGCTCATCAATAACCTGTCTTTAAAATAATGTACCTTGTTTCCAAAACCTGAAAACTGAATTGTGTCTCGATAGAAAACAAAGGGCTATTTAGTACCAGTAGTACTGACAACAATCTAAAACTCCAAAATGATTATTTGCCCTTTTCCCTTAGTCATGACAGAGGGTCAAGAGTGTAAGAGGCAAAGACACGCATATCATGTTCACTCTCAAACTCAGTTGACACAAATTATAGGCCAGATAAGTTACAGAAACATTGAGTAGAAAAACATTAAGGTAATGTTTAACAGAAAAAACAGTGACTGCCTTAGCAAGATAAAACCATTGAACAAGTGTTTTCCTCTTATCATTTTTAATCTCTCCAATCCTCTGTGCTGCTTCACTTCTACCTTCCGGAACATGACACCTGTGTGAATATTACAAACTGCTGATCAACAGATACCTCGCCTTTCGGTAACATGAAGTATGATGTGCTCAACATGCATTTCAAAATCAACACATTGCGGAGAATGGGGGTGTTCAAATTCATGTTTAAACAATGAATGAACTTTAAGTGTCAATGAGTTTTGCCATTTTTGTGTTGACAACTGAAAAGTTGAACAGGAGAGGAATAATTTTCCTTATTTGTTTCCACCATTGCTCTACAACTGTATTGAAACCTCTTTTACTACTGATTGTACAAGTCATATGTTGATGAGTTAGACCAGGGGTTCCCAAACGTTGCCGTGCCAGGGACCCCCATATAGCATTATCCTCTGGCGGGGTCCCCCTGTTGCAATTTTTTTTTTAAATGATGTGCACAAGTGCCCCCCGATGGAACATGCAGTGCGTTGCCACTACATTTGGCGCCTTCTGCCTGATCAAAGCTGTCACTCCGCTTTCTTTGCCTGTCATAGCCCCACTGCCCCATCTGAACACACACCCACACAACGAGACCAGTCAAGTCCATTTGAGATGATGTATTCATCTAAAACTTCGCACTACATTTGGCGCCTTCTGGT